TGACTTATTAAATTCTTATTAGCTTTAATGCAATGAACTCCAGAGGTCACTTGACACTACCAGGACCAGCTGTGCCAAAGACATTAAAAGACACTGGACACACTTCAATATCTGTCAAGGCATCACAGCCCTGATGATGTTCTGACATCAGAGGTGCTTTCCTAATTAAGAAACTGTTGACCATGTATTTAACGATTGTGATTTTAAAGTAAATGTTTGTTTGAAAAATGTAGCATTTTATTATTATTATTATTATTATTATTATTATTATTATTATTATTATTTATTTGCTGTTTATTTAGAGTGTGAAGAGTGGCTTGCAGTTTTGGGAGCTCCTAATGTGATGATTCAGAATGCACCCATGAACAACTCTTCCTCTTTTATGATGTCCTCACTGACTGATGCTAACGAGGAAAGGGATGATCATTATTGTGCTGAATTATCTAATCCTCATCTTGTTTTTAAAAATGCCCCTCTTGATAATCCTGATTTCATTCTTTTTATTGATTTTTCCTCAACCCACACTGATGGTCAGCATAGATCTGGATGAGCAGTAACTGACAGCTTTCAAACTTTGGCCAGTGGTAGTCTTCCTCCCTCTTACCAGCAGGCTGAGGCAGTTGCTTTAACTGAGGCATGTAAACTTGCATAGACAAGAGTGTGATTTATATGATTTATACTGATTCCCAATATGCCTTTGGAGTGGCCTATGATTTTGGACGCTTATACAGTCTCAGGGGTTTTCTCACAGCTGCTGGCACTCCAGTTAAAAATGTTGATTTAGTACAGGGTCTTTTGAAAACTGTTAAGTTACCCACAGGTCTAGCTATTGTGAGAGTCAAAGCACACAGTGGTGGTACTTCTTTTGAAGCACAAGGCAATAGAATTGCAGATGAAGCAGCTAAAAGGCCAAGTTTTACTACCAGCTAGGATTTCATCTATCACTAACACAGAGTGCAATACTTATGAGATTTCTTCTATTCACAAGCTACAGTCTGCCTCCAAAATTGGGAACTCTGGATTTGGCTGGATTCAGATGCAAAAATTGCTCCAGATGGTGTCTGGACCAATGGGGGAAAACTAGTCACACCTGAATCAATACTTCCTTACCTAGCTATGCAGATGCATTCCTTGATTTACATTGGGGTGGAAAAGATGGTAAATCAGTTTTCCCATTCCAGATGGAATCATAAATTCAGGGAACAAGATAAAACAGTTGTTCAAAATTGCGTTGCTTGTAATCAAGTCCATGTAGCACCTCAGATACGAACTTCTATTAAAACAGTGGCACCTCCAGGTCATTTCGCCATTTACAGGTAGATTACATCACATTGCTGAAATGTGAGGGAAAACAAAATATTTTTGGATCATCGTGGGTACCCAACTTCCAAGGGTTCTGCTGCACACACTGCTAAAATGCTAGTGCATGATTTTATTCCTAGGGGATTTCCTGAGCAAATTGAGTCTATGAAAGTACTCACTACACTGGACAGGTAGTGCAGACAGTCTGTAAACTTCTGAAGGTGAACTGGAATTTTCACTGTCCATACAGGCCACAAGCTTCAGGACAGGTAGAGCTTGCAAACTATGTCATCAACAAACGACTGACTAAACTCCACAGTCAGGGAGTAAAATGGACTGCAGCCTTACCTGCAGTACTTTGTAGTATAAGGGTAATTAGCAATAAAACTGTTGGGCTTAGTCCTTATGAAGTGACAGGTGGACCCATGCTGGTTACAGGTGTAATTGATCTCTGTAAAGCAGATGTGCATTTAGTCAGATGCACTTCTTTGCTACTGTCTTACACTAGCACAAGTGGTACAGGCAGCTTAAAATCAGGTCAAAAGTGCTTGGGGTAAAACAGCTGAAGGTGGCCACACCATAATTCCAGGCCAATGGGTCATGGTGAGGAAACATGACAATCTATAGAACCTAGATGGGATGGTCTGTATCAGGTTCTTCTGATTACTGACTCAACAGTGCAGTGTGAAAGAAAGAAAACATGGATTCACAATTCTTACTGTAAGGTTGTGTCTGCTTCACACTGAAATTAGGGTCAGTAGGAGAGGAGGTGAGTCAAGTCTAGAGTCTCAGGGAAGAACGATGATTTCTATTATCATAGGGATTCACCTTGAGGTGAAGACATCTCAACACTGTGCATTACCATAACAACTTCCATAACAACAGTGGGGAACAGCAGGTAACCTCATGTAACTATAGAATGTAAAACCTAAACTTTGATGATGAATGGTTCACTGCATATGCTTCCTTTGTGTATTTTACAGAACCACACAGAAGGTAATCAGCAACAACTATATGTATCCTCGGGACAGTCTGCACAACTGATTAGAGATGACTGTACCTTTAGGACAATGTGCCAAAGCGACTGGCCCTCTGAAGTTCACTAGAGCAACATGTATACATCACAAATTCAAGCACTGTGCATGATCATAACAATGGTCTATGGTGTAAATGTGTGAGATTGCACATGCATGTCCAATGAAGATGTGACATCTCACCATGCAGAAGCAAATCATCCTGAGTTGCACCCATCAGGGATAAGTCTTACCTGAAGACACCATATGTTTCTGGCACTTCTGCACTAGTAAAGACTCAGAAGCAGTAGAACCTAGTTCACTAATGGCAAACCAATATTTTTTAAAATAAATTTTGAATAGCAGAAAAACAAAGCAGACTTAGTAGAAGTGAAACAATGAACAAAAATTCCATTTGTCCTACAATGGAATGGAAGCTTATTTTTCAACAAGATGAAGTATGAAAACGAAGCCTTATACAGATGTAGATGCAGTGATCATGTTCAGCATCACCAACTTTATGCAGATACTGCATTCAGAAAAAGCCAAGGGGGAAGTCATGTTCCAAGCATTTCCTTGGATAACCAAGAGAGAATGTTTTTTCCCCATCTCTTCTCACTTAGTACAACTCTTTTTGGGAAGCAGGCTGTGTGTGTTTCCCAACCTGTGAGTGTAACTGGAGGAATCTCATGGACAGTACATCCAATCTCCAATTGTGAAACATGCTCTGTCCCACAAGCTCATACTAGCAAGCCAGTCAATGTTTCTTCATGTGATCACCATTCCAGTGATCAGTAGCTCCTAGTTAGAAGACATGAATGACAGCATAGGACATAGGACATGTAACACCACTTATGATGGCCAACGTTTCTGAATTTATTACCCCCAGTTTCTTTCCTTCACAGAGGTGAATCATCTCCACTAGGTGAGATTCTGAAACAGTCATGTGCCCAAATCTACATCTTAGAAAGCAAAGGTAATGTCTATAGATACTTACTAAGATCATAATTGAAACTTCCTTCTCAAGCCACTTTCAAAGAGCCTGTTGATGATGAAGACTTTGTACAAAAAGGTGCTCACTGGCATAATTTGCTAGCCTCTACCTGCACCAGTAGGAGCGTACTGGCTCTGTGGAACCACAGCATGCTCTGAACTGCCCTCTAGATTCAATGGCCAATGCACCCTTGCATACCTATTTCCATCCATGAGAAGTGAACGAGAAAAGATAAAACTCACAGCTGGCAGCACTGACCAAAGTGGCACCTGTAGTCTTGGTCTAACCTGTCAACAAACTCTGCGGTCTCGCATTCTAGGGGCCCTAATTCCGTCCTATGCTGTCATTAAATCCCAAGATCAGGTCCGTACCCTTTCAAGACAAATAGATAAATTGATATTGTTTTTGCTCCAGCCTAGCTTTGGCTTCTCACAAATGATGGTTCTGCAAAATTGCATTGCTTTGGACTATTTACTATCCAGCAGAAGTGGGACTTGCTCAGTAGTAGGCACCTGAATGCTGCACTGGTGTAATAAATCCTAGGAAAGATATCTCAAAGATCCTCACTGATTTACACAATTTGTATGACCATGTGGCAACCATGAACAACTCTGATACTTGGGTGTACAGTTACAGCCATTTTAATTGTCTGTTTCTGCCTTCAACTCCTCATTGTACATATGTTTCGCACTTGTAGTCATAATACAGTTTTGGGGGAAAAGGGGGGGACTGGGAGAAAATATTCTTCACATATGTGATTTTTTCCCCTAATGTTATTTTCTTACGCTCTTAATTTTCACTCGCTCCTAGCAAAGAAGTAATAACTGTCACACTCTCACCTTGTCCCCTCACTCCTATGTTTGTATTGAAATGCCCCTTCACTCATGACCTTAAGGTGATAACAATCACCCTCTTATCTCTACCCCTTACTTCTCCTTTTATATTCTCCTTCTACATCCCCCTCCTTACCCCTTCTCAAAGTTCTCTACCTTCCTCCCCTACAGTTCTCAATGTATATAAGGTCCTCCCAAAATATTTCTTGTCAGACTACTGACAGAATGGTGATAGACTGTTGATCGACCATGTTGATCGACAATACTCCAGTCAATGCTGAAGCTCCAGTCTCCGGACTCTTCATGCCAAGTTTCTAACACTGTGTTAAAAGATCTCTTCTGAAGCAGAAGCAGATATAGATAGACAGATACAGCCAAGAATAAAATTAACATGGCAATTCTGTTTAATCATAGGCCCACAAACTCAGTGTACACACCATAAGAATGTTAGAAATTCGGCAAGAAGAGTCAGGAGACTGGAGCTTCAGTGTTGACTGGAGTTTATTTCCACATACAGAGTATGGGTACAGCGTGGTCGATTAGCAGTCAATCAGCAGGATCAGGAGTCTAGTCTTATTCACGTGCAGACAATCATGCACGGGCACAACTTGGTTATCAGTGTGTCACCAGTCTGGTCTGGTCACCAGTCTAGTCTAGTCCAGTCTGCGGTCCAGTCTGGAGTCCAGTCTGGAGTCCAGTCTGATGAATACATGGTCTGACATGGTTTAAGTAGAGATACTGGGGGTTGGGGGAGGAAGCAAAGAGGGAGGGGAAATAGGTGGCAATCAAAAGGTTGGGGAAGAAGGGGAAGGGGGTCTGGGGTCAGGGAAGACCCCAGGGGTAAGGTGAGGTTGTTATCACCTCAGGGGGAACAATACAGATAAAACACCAAAAGGCACACAACTGTAAGACAAATACAGCTGACACAACAAAAAGACAACATGGGTTAGAGCATAGAAGAAAGCAAATGTCAAAAGACCTATACTTTCTCTCAAGAACATAGAACATATAGATGCAGCCCAATTCCCAAAAAAAAAAAAATCTTATTGGTCATGGTGATTTTTTCTTTGTAATTAGTAGTATTTTAAGTTGATGTATTCCTTAGCTTATAAATCATTTATTATTATTCTCATTTAAGAAGACACCAAATAAACAATCATAAATGCAAACATGAAAGAAAGGTATAATCCACATTCCAGATTGTTCCAGAAATACAATCGATGTCAAACAGTCAAAGTTATAATTTCAAAATGATAAACAAATGTGCCAAAATCTGATATTCTGTACTCCATGAACTACGTCTACATTACACACAAATTAATTATTGATTATTTGTTATTTTTCTGATACGAGAACAACTTCAATTTGGAATTAATCACCCAGATCCAAAAAGACTGATTTTCCCCACACTTCTTAACATGTTTTCCTTTATTCATCAGACTTTTCCAAGCTTGGAAGTTTTCTTTTGTCCAATGACATTTTCAATCTCCTTGAGCAGTTTCTCCTTGTTGTTTTTGATGTTTAATCCAGCTTTCTCCAGAAGATCTGTGATCATTTCACGACTGTAGTTCATTTGAAAAGTGGAATATCTTTTCTCCCACTTCTTAATTTCTCCTGAGAAAACAGACATTTGCTGCTTAGAGCACTGCTGCATTTCTGTTACTTCACAATCCACACTATCCAGTATATTACCATTACAGTGAAGCCAATGATATACAAGGATGTATATTTCAGTGTGCTGTAGTTACCTTTGCAGTTAACAGCATTGAAAAGAGGGATGTGAATCACAGTTGGAGCATCGCTGGAACCCTTGAACACATAGAAGTCCTGTGGTTCTGTGTTTTCAGCAGGTAGAACAACCTCAGGGAAAGGAATCTGAAGGTCTTTGCACTTTTCAGCAGTCTGAACCACCGTCTGCAAGACAGGCAATTTACTGTACATTTCTATAAATACACAGTTTGGGACTGTTTACCTGCAAAATGCGTAGAATACAATGTGTTCTACTCTTTGCACCTTTTACTCAACAGTCAGAGGCCAGCTTAGAGGAGAAATGGTCTATCTTCTTTTACTCCATGTGGAAACTCAAATATTTTAAATGAAGCAATGCAAAGCAAAATTTTAGTTTTTATGAACAAAAGAAATTTTCACATCAAATCAAGCTTCAAAAACATTTCAAATCTGCAGTGTTGCACTTTTTACTGTGAACAGGGCATTTTTACCTGGATTGTGAGTAAAAGGTGCAAAGTGTAGGACAAGCTGTCTAATGGCCTTTTGCAGATCATGTTTGAGAACTCATTCTTCTTTTGACAGGTAGATCATGGACATATTGTGTCCTTAATTTGAATTCTCATCAGCAATAATGCTATATCTGTAACCTATAGCTAGCTAACTGCTGGGTCATCGGTGTAATAAGGTTTCATAACAAACTCCATGAACAGGTTTAGAAAAGCTTTGAAAACCTGCTTGCTGGGAGTTTTGACCAGGACTAGGAGCAGCAGGTGAGCAGTTAGATATGTGATGTAGCTGACATATATGTCACCTGCCCCAACTTTAGTCCCACCCAACTCAAATCAAAAAGAAAAAAAACAGCAGAAAAAAGTGATCTCAAAAACTCTAAACAGAAAAGACAAACAGCATTCATTCTCTGCCAGTTCATGGTAAAATCACAAAAACTATAGAAATAGTTAGATGTAAATAATGAAATTGAGCAGATAGGAGCTTGAGATGAATGATGAATGTATTCATACTACTATGCACTGTGTGGTTCAGTAACTCTTCTACTGACAGCTTGCTCAAATGTCCACTGTAATTTTAGTGAAAACTGGATGAAAACACAGATTGTTTTTCTGCTTTTATTTTTCAGAGCATCCAGGAGAAAGAAAACAAACTCATTTACTCCCCCACCTTTTATTAAATAAAATGACTTAAAGAGGAAATAACTACCTGTAATTTCATAAACCTCCTTTAATACAATCCTCTCACTTGTGATACAGGTCAGTGAAAATGCCTCATGATATTTATTTTGCTGTGATATTTAATTAAGCTGAAACAAAGCACACCACAATACAGACGTGTATATTCATTTGGAAGCTCAGTCTTATCATATAGAGGAAAAAATATCATCTGTTTTTCTCTCTCTGTTCATGTCAGTGATGTGTCAAAAGTTACAATTTTGTTTCTTGAGATTTTGACAGTTGTGTCAAAATAATAGCTTTTAAAATTATGACTAAGGCTGTATTTAGACGGTGGAAAAAATCTGCAGGGTGGAAAAGGAGCAGAGTAAATCTTTATGGGACATCATATGTGCCTAAATAAATAGACTAAAGAAACTACCACTGCACTTTTTTTTGGAGGAGAAAGACATACACCATCAGATAAAATGCTAAAAGTGTAAATTGGTACTGATGTACAAACAAATCGCATAACACTGTGAACATTACTCACAAAAGAGTGTGTGTGTGTGTGTGTGTGTGTAGTACCTCAAAGGGATCTCCTTCACTGTAGTCAAGGGAAATGATGAGGTCGATGTCTCGTTCTTTCCTCAGCATTGCGAAATAGGGTGAGTTCAGTAACAGTCCAGCATCTTCGTAATGTCTTGTCTTTGACTTAAGGACACTGGGGTTGATGCTTTCCACTGATGACAAAGTCAAACAATGTTTCGTAAGGATAATATGTCTATTCCATGGCTTCATTTACTGATTCTGTAATTATATTCATTATTATGCCCCCTTCTCTTTCCTTGATCACCTTCCTTGTATCTGGAGTGAAAGGTTTCTAGAATTTTTAGAAGGTTATTTAAGTGCAGGGAGGCAGGTCTCTGGCCTATTTTTCATTCTTGCAATCTTACCTTACAGCATTTATGTCAATATTAACTGTCTATTAACTGTTTATTTTGAGAATTCCTACATGCTGACATGTTGTTGTCATTTAATATACTTCCAGTGCATATATCCACTTCATTACAAAGACATCTCAAAGTTGTGGTTTCTAACAATGGCTTTGCAAGAAGTACTAATATTATTAACTGTTTTGTCTGAATACTTTTAACTATTAATTTTTAAACATAAATTTGTTTAGGAATACATGCTCTTTTGTTTATATGTACAAATATGTACAAACTCAAAAGACATTAAGTGTGTAAATTTGAAGTGGATATATGCATTGGACATTGGACAATAGTGTTCCCACAGGTCCATAAAATGCCTTAAAACAAAAGTCCGAAAATGTCTTGTTTTCTGGAGCCATAAACAGACTTTATCAACAACCTGTAACAATGAAGAATGTTTTTGAGAAGGTAGCAATTTGCTTAAAATGTGTGGAGCTACTTTAAGGTGGGAAATGAAAATGTATAATAGCTGCAGTGCCCATGTTTATGGGAACGTAAAATGCAAAGGTAAAAACGTGTGCATACAGCTATTCTAGTATATTTTTGGCTGTGTGTCACAAGTGTCATGCTGCCAAAACCATGTATAAAAAACACTCCCAACCCAATTTTCACTTGCAAGCTATGACTCAGAGGTGGGAGCAAGTCACTAAGGTGCAAGTAACAAGTAAGTCTCAAGTCTTAACACTTGAGAACCCGAGTCAAGTCCCAAGTCAAGATAGTCGAGTCTCAATTCAAGTCCTGAGTCATTACAGGCAGATTTCAGGTCATGACCCAAGTCCTAATCTTCGGGTCCCAAACAAGTCAGTATGCATCCATCCTTTTCAAAGTACTACGGAACTACAGAAAGACAACAAAATGATGGTGAATGAAACTGATGTTGAATTTTTATTCACCAGCAGCTTCTTATTCGCCAAGCAATACTGGAATTATGAAGGTGAAAAGTTCAGGAAATGTAATGTTACACTTTATAGCCATGTTTATTATACATTATGAATTGTTAATATAATACATTATAAATAGTGTTAATAACATGTTATAATGTCAGTGCCAAAGAAGTCAGTTCCAGCTTGGAGAGCTTAAAGTAAAGACAAATACCAAGCTAATGGTGGTGTACATTGGCTTTCCCACATTGGGTAAAGCACTGATGGCAGCACAAGTTTATACTCTGACATTTGAAGCCTGTAATGTGCTTTATTATGTATGTTTTAGTGTTTCAGTAAATCCTTCAGTAAATACCTCAACATGAAGCCTCACTGGAGGTGGCTTTAGTACAGTGTACTTCACTTTACTTAGAGCGGATAAATACGACTTATGAGCTCTTATAATTTGTTATGATCAGTACTTATAATGTATTATGTTAATAATTCATAATGCATAATAAACATGGCTATAATGTATAATGCATTTTATAAATATTTATAGCTATGTTTATAATGTCTTATGAATGCATTATAACATGTTATGAATGTGTTTATAGATGCTTACAAAGGTGACATTCATAGAAAGTGTTAAATCAAAGATAAATTAGTTAGTTTGTGTGGTCGATTACATCATGTAATCAAAGTGGATATCACTGAGCACACAGAAGCAGTCTAGTTATCAGCCACATTAATCATGTAGTGCCCTAAAGCATGCTCCTCACTCATGCAACAGCAGTAAACATACATGTGATGTTATCGCTTTCAAAAACATCTGCCCATAAAAACTGAGATAACAGAACTTTGTATCTGTATCCACATAAGCACATAACAACAGCTAACAAAGTCTGCAGAGCAAAAGATGCACTACAGTCTATAATTGTAGACCTATAAAGTGCTCCTATACAGTAAGTGTAGCTGATAAAATGGACAATGAGTGTAGAAACAAGGTAGGTGTTCCTAATAAAGTGCTCAGTGACTGTATAGATCACTTTATAATCAAATTATAGTTAATTTCTCACCTTTCATTCTATACAGGTAGTTGTGATTCGTTCCCCAGGTCCAGTGCACAAGTTTTTCCATGGATCTCAAAATAGCAATCCAACTTTCTGATAAAATAAGATTAAATAACACAAAATAAGGTTGACTTCAGATTTCTAATACATTCTGCCTTTAGACTACAAAACGGTAAAGTGGTAAATATGGTAAAGTCATTGAAAAGCTTCCCACGGCTCAGTTTTTTATTGTAAATTACAGTCAGAGCAGTTACCAGTGGACTTCTGAAAAGTAGTGTTACTGTTTTAGTAAATGAATGACTAATGTGCACTCAGAGCTGTCGTGAAGATCCTTGGTTTTCTTACAGTGTATGAAGATAATAATGGAACCATAAAATCTAGATCAAACGTCCAGGCACAAATGCTTCAATGATGTGCACTGTATAAAGAATGATCACTGCACTACATTAACAATGATGTAAAAAACTGAATGTTTTTCTCATTATAAGATTACTGGATGATCTACTTAACTGAAATAAAACACCATCATGGTTAGAGTATCAAAACAAGCATATTAAATGCTTTCAAATGAATTGAAAAAGGCACATTCAGAGCTAAGACTAGGTTTGTAATTTAGTATAATTAAGTCAGCAGATTAGTCTGAGGTGTATTGTTTGGAAAATGCATCAGTAGAATGACTCACCGTCTTTACTACCCTGTTCCTTATACATGTCAGTGATAGAACTGCATGCTCGCAGAGTGTAATCTTTTAACTCCATTTTGGAGATCGTCTTTGCTGATTTCTCTCCCCCCTCTTGACGAAGAGTCATCGTCTCTGTTTCTTTATATTCTGAAGAGAAAGTTGGTTTGTTTTGTGTTTGTTTTGTTTATATATATATATATATATATATATATAACTCACTTGGAATTGAGAAAATTACTTGAAAAAAATATTTTCCTTTGATTGACAACAATCATAACACTAACAAAACTTTCCCAAATGTTTTGCTTGTGACAATTTTAGCTAGTGTTGAGCATAACTCAAAAACACTAGCCAGTACTGATGACCAAACACAGCTTTCAACAGTTGTACACACACAAAACCACAATATTTTTTTTTTTATAAAACACTAAAAAGTTTACTTAATTTTTAGTAGTGACAATTCCAAATGTACACACTGCTTTTCCGATTTTCAGGACCTAATTGCTCACTATGTGGCCATGAGGGACAGGGATGCACTCTTACTTGCTGGAATGAGAGGATTGTGGCTAATATAAGACTCTGTCTATAGACTAAAACTTTGTGTTTTGGTAGTGATATAAAAAATGTTTGTGTGTGTGTATAGGTATATGTGTGTCTGTGTTGTATGTATATATATATATATATATATATATATATATATATATATATATATATATGTTTATACACAGGTGTGTGAGTGCATATTACATACTACTACTATGGATGGATATAGATTTTTAATGTTGGATAGTTAAACTGTCATGTACTTGTTGGATTATTGTATATGTTTTTGGATACAACCTTTCAGGTGTTCATCCATGGCTTTGAGGTGATTTGTAAGATCCTTCTTTTTCAGTGCACGAAGGTTCAGCTCCACAAGTGTTAAGAGCGCCTCAGGAGCTTTTGGCACATCTGGCGTTTGTGATGCTTTCCTTTGTTTTACACTCCCTGTTGTAGCTAAAGAAAATAGTAATGAAAGAAATAGGAAGAGAAACATTAACCTTTTAAACGGCCAGGGCCCACAAGCAGGGCCAAAGTTTTACTACACACCTCTACAACCTAAGAACTAGTTTGTAATCTAGTCTGTGTAAGGGGTTAACTTTAACCCTTTCCTGTCTGAGTGGAACTTTCCATTTTGTGGCAGTAGTGCACACTGAAACAGACAAAAGCATCAAATACAACGTATACACCATTCAAACTAAGATAATCAGTTCTTTAAAATGATGAAAAACTTAATATGGTAAGCCTAGTATTAACCATTAAGTATTAATCTTAAAAAAAACTAAAAAGGTAACTTAAAAATCATTCAAATTTAATTTTGCTATTAAAATATCACGTTTTTAAAACATGTAAATGTAGAGCATGAGAAACACTCATGATTTTATTTTGACTTACCAAATAATCTGAACATACGCATCATCTACCATTCAAAAGTTATAAATAATAAATTTAATGATGACAGCATTATTACTAAGTAACTGCAAAAGCTATCAAAACATTTGCTACAAAACCAATACCAAAAATCTTTTACTGTCATTATTTTTTCTACATTTGTGAGTGGTTGACTATGGTTGAGGGCTGCAAACCTTATTCCAATCTTACACAGCACAACCTGATTTAGTACCCATTAATTCAAATATTTACAATCAGTTAAGGAGCAACAAATGAGAAGATTGTAAAATGGAGAGGTTCATACGTGAGATTAGTTCTTGTAGTTTCTGAAGGATCTGCTCCATATCTGCAAGGACACTGCCACACAGACCTGTACAAATTTCAAAGAAGTAACAAAAAACAGACATCAAGAGTAATTGTCAGTAAGAGTAAGTGTACAGAGTAAGCGTCCAATGTCCAGCCCCAGGGCCAAATACGCCCCTGGACATATTTTATCACACACACATACAAACATATATATATATATATATATGTGTGTGTGTGTGTGTGTGTGTGTGTGTGTGTGTGTGTGTTTTATATGAATGCCAATAGTTCTTATTAGTGTTTCTGAGGTGTCTGACTGAAAAAGTATTCCTGTTGCAAGAACACTAGTGTTGATGTTTGATGGGATTAGTTTATTTTAAGATGTTTCTGCCATGTTTTATGTATGCTGTAAAGCCTTTTGGGTATAAAAAGAGCTTAAGTGTCAAACTGCATGTTTTATCAGAGAGGAGAAAACCAAAGGCAATGGCAAAAAACTGCTACTAAATATTGAAGTTGGTTTACATAGTGATAGTGTTCAGAATTTGGTGCATCTAGGCATCCAGGATCTGTTTCTTTATTGTACTGTAGTGCTATTCTTACTTTTTTGTTAATCCAATGGAATTTTGATTTAGTGTGTGTGTGATGTTTTGAACCATTTTTGAACCAGAACATGATTCTATATAGCACCAAAAATGGTTCTTCTATTGTTACAGTGTCAAGCTTGTAACAGTAGAAGAACCTTTTGGGTACTATGTCAAACCCTTTTCAAAATGTTCTATATAAAACTGTCTATAGCACATTCATGCACATTTTTCATCAAACCAAAAAACCCTTTCATGACACAAAGAACCCTTTAATCATGCAAACTTTGAGAGTTCATGGTTCTATAATCATTTTCTTTACTAAAGAACCCTTGAAGCACCATCTTTTTTAAAAGGTAGTATTGTCATTTTAATTGTGGCAGTATGCCACCTGATAGAACTGGATGAGTTCATCCAGCAGTTCAAGTTGTCTTCTACTGTTTTAATGATGGTGTGAAGTTCAGTTGGAATAACTCAGACAGTCTGTAGTAGTATTTTATTCTTAAGCATGTGATGTTGTTGGTAGTCATAGACATAGGGTGATTTTGGGGTGCAGTATTCCAGTCAGACCTACTTATTGGCCTTATTGCAGATTCATTCCAGTTAACTGTAGTCAAATTTCAGAAAAGTAGGTTTTTGCATATGTTGCGAGTGATGTTTTGGGATGATATGCCAGTGATTTTATCTTTTTGTTACACAGCTGTTACTAGGGGTTCAATAAATAGTGCAAATAATGATGAAAGAGGACATCCTTGTCTTGTACTACAAAACAGAGCAAAGCTTTGTAAAGTTGTATTGTTAGTGATGTTGAATTCCATTAGTGTGGAATAACTTTGTTACTGAGGAATTGTTTTGTTTTAAAATGGTCTGTGTTACCTTGTAAGTACAGCATGTCAATCTCAGGCTGCTTCTTAATTTTGTTTCCATTCTCAAACTGACTTCCCAAACAGGACGAATCCACAAAGACTCCAGAGAGAGAATAACCTGACTCATCTGGAGTGATCTCAAACCAAGGATCTACAGACAGAAAGTACTGTAAGTCTTCCATTTTACCATACACACACACACACACACACACACACACACACACACACGCACACACAAACATACATATGAAACACACAGACATAAGACAAATTACCTGCATTCAGTCTGTCATATTTAGACTGCTTGTCAATCACAGTGTAAACAGGATACGGGTCTTTGGTGTATTTACCCCTCTGCTCTGTGAGTTTGTGCTCATCTATCTGTGAAATACAGAGAATACACACTTCTACAGTGGGATCCAAAGCTTTGAGAAAAGTCTGAGAATTGACACCCCGAGTGGGGTTGTGAGAGCGTAAGGGATGTGGTGTAATCTCCTTTCAGACTCCCTAATCCTGTAAATACTTTTGGGAATCTCTGCTTGAACATCTCTTCTGTATGTTCCACCACATCAAGGCCCATCTCTGCTGTATTTGTATGGTTTGGTGGGAATAGCTGTGTGTCATGCCTCCTGCTGAGCAATGCCTCCTCTACTGGTTCCCTAACCTGTGTATAACCTGTTTTTGTGGTTTTTTTGGCTTTGTCTTTTCATGTTTGCCTGTTTGGTTTGATTGCTGGACATTGTTATTTTTTTGAATTTGGACTGGTTACTGGATTCTCTCTGGACGTCCCCTTTGGTTTGGTTATTGTGCTCTCTGGTTTTGACCCTGGCCTGTCCTGACTATGCTCTTTGTGAAACTCCAAAGCTCCCAAGTAAACTACAACAGTGTCTTTTAATCTGCAAGCGCCTGATCTGTTTTGACCACCTGACACTGTGACAGCAGCAGTGGTATCTATTTCCCACTATGCGAACAAGAAACTGCAGCTGCCACCTGTGCACAACTCATATACTCCGGAGAAATTTGATGATTTAAAGACACCATGTAGTAATGTAATGCAACTGTAGTATTCTTTTGACCCCTATTTTACTCAAACTCAGTCACCCGGTCTTGTTAACTACAGAAGCCCACAGGCATATCCACTACAGTGGAATGCAGACAAAGTTACCTGTAATTTAAATTGTAGCTTATTAGCACAATAAGCAAGCATCCAATCATCAACAATACACAAATTAGCCAGTTATAAATTTATATGATTTCTATTATTTTCTAATTTTACAGGACATCAGCGAGCGAGATGGGGCCGAAAAATATAAATCCTGCTTAAGTTCTTAAAAAATTAGAACCAGTCCGGAATGAAAGGATCGTTATTTGATCTGTATTGAACCTAATGACACTGAGCTGCTGTAGAAGAGCATTGCAGTAATAACCGCTCATAACCATAGCAAAACAGACAAACAAAGTCACACAGGTTAGAAACAAGGCTGAAATTTCACAAGCCTAAGTCCTGTGTCGCAGTCGAGTCATGAATCATTCAACATGTGACCCATCTCTGCTAGAGTGTCTAAATGTTTTCCCAACTTGGGTGAAGACAAGAAAGGGGCTGCTGGATGCTCATTTTTTATTAAGTTGACGCTCTGGGCAACTGATATAATCTTAAATCTAGTTGATATGTCTTTCACGTTTTGAGATTGTTGTAAAAACATGTGTAGAGAATTCCCTCATTAACATGTGTCATTTTGCTCAGGCACCAGTGGCCCCCTCAGACATGTACTGGGTAGCTCTGGGGTCCTAGGCAGCTGCTTCTTTTTTCATTCTCATAGCCCATGGAGTTCAGTTCAGTTTGTGAAAAGCTGTATTGTACCCTTTGAGAGGTTCTGCTCTTACATATATCATTGACAATGTGCAATATGCTTAAAAGTGCAGCTAAAAATATGTTGGTTTGGCAAAAAGGATTGTGGAATGTATCATTATTCAGTTTAACATACAGTTTGAGCTCACCAGTGTGTATACTTAATTGATTAGGTTAATTTGCAAAGAATATATTCTTTATGCTTAATGTGTTTTATGTATCATTTGTAACTGTATACACCCCATGCCCTGCTGGCTAATATAACGAGCTCAAACTGTATTCCTATCCTCTGTGTCGGCTCTTTTACCAGAGTTCCACTGTGTACCACTGTGTATGAAGCACAGGCTACACCTCTCTTACTACCCAATAATAATAAAATTGTTAGATATTGTGTAGTGAGAGAGGTGTAGCCTGTGCTTCATACACAGTGGAACTCTGGTCTGGTCTGAGTTTGTGAAATGTTTAGAATTTTCTATATTTCTGCATAAATTTGACCTAACACTTCATCAGATTTCCTGAAATTTGTTTAACCAAATTAAACAAATAAGACAAAAATATTGCACTTTTAGGTCCAATATCAACTATTTGTTAATGGCAAAGTATGTGAACCATTGCTGAACATTTCTCAGAACTGTTGATTAGTCCTGCACACAGGCTTGGTGGAATTTTAGCTCATTCCTCCATACAAAACAGCTTCAACTCTGTGAGGTTGGTGGATTTCCTCCCATGACCCTCTTGCTTCAGGTCCTTACACGACATTGCTTTAGGATTAAGGTCAGGACATTGACTTGGCCATTCCAAAACATGAACTTTATTCTTATTTAACCATTGTTTGGTAGAACGACTTGTGTGCTTAGGGTCGTTGTCTTGCTGCATGACTCACATTCTCTTGAGTTTCAGCTCACAGACAGATGCCTTGACATTTTCCTTTAGAATTTACTGGTTTAATTCAGAATTTATTTTTCCATCAATAATGGCAAGCTGTCCTGGCCTAGATGCAGCAAAACAGGCCCAAACCATGACACTGCTAATTAACACAAAGGCGTGTTTACTTATATAAAGAAGTTACATAAGAACTAATTTGTACTTCTGTGTTAGTACCATTAATCATCTCTTAATAGGTCTACTGATTTATCATTACATTTTCCTCCACTGTGCAGTGTTGTGTGGAACATAGTCTTTGGGCTTTAATAGACAGTTTTCTTCACCTCCGCATATTCAGCTGCCTCATTATCCTCAGAGCTGTCTTCACATTTTCACCATTAATAACTCCTTATTTCATATTACTTAACCATTAATTACTACTTTATGTGCCCCTCTAAGTGAAGTGATGGTCTTCACTGCTAATGTACTAATTGTACTTTGTTCATGATTAAGTAGCCTATAGACCAAATCAGAATGTTTGTACCCATGAAAATTTACAATATCTATATCAGAAAAGACTGAACTAGAACTTAGTCAAACATAGTAAAATATTGTTGTGTTGGAGGCTACTTCATTTTTTCTGCTGAGAGATAGAGAGGCGGTTGAGAGAGAGAGAGCAGTGAAAAGCATACCATTGTGACTGGGTATTACCTCAGAGCAGCTAGCCCTGGCTCTGAGAGTAAAAAAGTTCCCTTCATCTCTATCTACGACCAGGAAACAGGACTGGAGAATTAGGGAAATGCATATACCCATAACATACGGTATGGTTCAAGTTTAGGTTTTCACTGTTTTCCAGCATTTTTTCCACTAAACACTGCAGTGAAAGAGAATAGCTGGTACATCCTCATGATCAAATGGCAAAAAATGAACCACACTTAATCCAGTTAATGGTGATGTTATCAGAGTGGGAAAATCAGTTTTAAATAGAATTTAACACCACCAGAAAAGCTTTAGTAGCATGCAGCTTTCATAGGTTTGCAAGTATCAACAACAACATTAAGAATATATTGTTTTGGCAGTATTTAATAACGAGTATGTAGAGGTACAAACTAACGTATTTAGATGTTTCATCATAAAACCACTGAAAAAGTTCTGTTTGCTCCAATATTTTAGTTAAATAAATCTAATGATTGGTACAAAATCCTATTGAACCACATGGACATAAGTTCTTTGTACAAGTGATGTACAAATGTTCAAGATGTACAAGTGTGAAGGGCTTGTTTAGGTGTAATAAAAAACTGAATTGTTCTTAATTCATGTTTGGTTTATTGTGCAGAGTCATTTAGAATAAATGTTAATTGATTATGTATGTATGTTTTCCATATTACTTGAGGGGACATAAAAACAAGTAGAAGGAAATTAAGATTAGTATCTTAATCATTAGGGTGTAGCATAATTAGTAGTGAAAAATGATCACTTTACTGGGAGCAGCTTAAGGTAGTATTTCATACTACCTTAATAATAATAAATAATAAATCAGCAGATGAATTAACAGATAATTAACAGCACTAACTCATAAGTACTAATTAGTTACTTGTTACTGCTTTATATGAGTAAACACACATCAGCTCATTAGCAGTGTAATAAGCAGCAGTTAGTACACATAAATGACCTATGAACTAATGGAAAACTAAATTACCATTGAACAGAGTATACAATTACAAATTATTTATAATTAATCAGTAACTAAGTAATAAATATTGTATAATTAACAGTTAAGTAATGCCCAGATAATGAGTTATTAGTTATTACTTAGCATAAAATGATCAATTTGTTTGTGACACAATGTAAAGTATTATAGATTATAACAATAATATCTACAGGCAGATTACGTTTACACTGTTAAAATGGTCACCTTAAAAATAACTTCATGTGGTATCAAGCCAGTTACCTGGTTTTATTCAACTCAAATATTTAAAATAAAAATTCCAAAGCAAATTTTTACTTTAAATGATCAAAAACAACCTCAATTCAAATCTGCAAACCAATTCCAATCAACTTCTGCTCTTTTCCCTTTTTTACAGTGTATATAGTTTAGTACATATTAAACTTGAAACAGTATTTCTAAACATCACTGATATATTTGCAGAACAGGGATATGCTAGAAGTAAATAATGAAACTCGTTAATTGTCAAATTACTATGATTTGTTTTAAGATTTGTGTGAAAGTATGACTAAAGATATAAATTATTCTTACCTCATTCACCATGTTAGACACAATCAGTACTGACCACACATCTGTCAGGCTGAAGTTGTCTTTTTCTGAATAGTATTTCGCCAGCTTTTCACCCATTTCCTTCAAACTCACGCTGCCATCAGCAAGCCTTTGGACAATGTTATTTTTCACAGTGTCCAGTTTGGTGGACCAGTTTGGTTCTTTATATAATGATGCCATGCACCTTCAGAGAACAGATGAACAAAACAGTTTTTTAACGTAATTTAATAATAATAATAAAAATAATAATAATAATAATAATAATAATAATAATAATAATTGGTGTTATCAACAGTCGATATACAAAAAATACAAAATTATCAAACCAAGTTATAGACTCCACAAGTTGGTTGAGGGCAAAAATTACCAGGAACTAAAAAATGAAGATGTCTCTGTCTCTTTCAAAAGACTCAGTTATGGAGAGTAAACTGTAAAACATATCTATTGAAATTGATGTTTGTTTGTGTGTCCATTAGGGGTGGGAATCTCTAGGCACCTCACAATTCAATTCGATTATGATTCAGAGAGCTGCGATGCGATTATAAAACGATTACCGATGCATGTTGACACATCTTTTTTTCTACAAAGGATTTATTTTTTCTTACTGTGTGATGACTTGGTACTTTTAAAGCAAAGTATTTGCAATGATCCATAATGAATTTACTTTCCATATCTTTTATTAATAAAACGAACAAAAGTGATGTGCCAAGTCAACTGGACTGCTCTCATTCACTGCTCTTGTTTGGCGCACATCAGTCGCTAGCTGCCACTCATCTGTGATAAAATGTGCAGTTACGGTGACAAGATCCTGTGGCAAAGGATGTCCACACATCACATGTTACGGCTATCCTACCCATTTTCTTGAGTGATTCCATAACTTCAGTTTTGGTCTCATTGTGGGGGGAGGTGGGGTGGGGTTGCTGTATCAGTAAAATATCTTTGAGATTTGATGCTGTATCTTGGCTCCAAAGTGTGCAACATAGCGTGAAAGCCCTGGTTCTCAATGACTCAGTACAGATGCAAATCCTTGGCAATAAAAGTTGCAATAGTAAGTAAGTAGTAAGTAAAGTTTATTTATATAGCGGGTCCAAGCCCCCATGAACAAGCCAGTGGCGACAGTGGCAGGGAAAAACTCCCTAAGAAACAGGAAGAAACCTTGAGAGGAACCAAGACCTCCTCTGGTCAACACCGGATAGTAAACATTGTTAGTATAAAGTATTATAGTACAAAAACAGGGAAAGAGGTGGAGCTAACAATTAATTTGTGTAGTGAACACTGGCTGAAACTCTACCTCAAGCAGAGTGTTTACCCAAAAGTTAAGGGCCTTTTGGCTCCAGCAAGTCCGGGAGTGAGGCGTAAAGCTGTCGGCTTAATACCCCCAACCCCAGACTCAGTCAGATTTACAGCTGAATTCACCCAGCAGAAAAACAGGACACTTCCTCTGGAATGTGGCAGAAGTACTGTGGACAACTTTTTATCTTTAAGTAACAGAAAGTACATTTCTAAGGTACTTGTCCCCTCCAAACTGCAACCATTTGTTAGAACTCTTTTTAACTAAACTAGACATACCAAAACGGAATTTGTACGACTTTGGACGGCAAAATTCCAACTTTCTAAATTCCCTAGGGATCTCAAGCATGGACCCACAGCACCCCCAAGGGGTGAAACTGCAAATTACCGCATCACCACCGTAAGGACTTGTGCTTATAAAAAGCAAGAAAACTTCGTGCTTTGTCTGCTTGATTCTGCTTGATGATTCGTGCTTTGTCTACTTGATTATCAAAGTTGCTATGATCTGTAAGTAATACTACTTGTGGTATTAATCTTGTTGTTGTGTAGTACCTAAATATTACCTGTATCTTTTTCTATCGTTAAGTGCTAGAAACACGTAGAGTATAACTTTGATAACAGTCAGACCCAACCAGTTAATTGCTATGAGTTTAGACCATTGACCAAGATGTATCCTGAATGTGGTTTTCTTTTCTTTTCTTCCTTTGTTCCTTTCCTTTTATTGTTGATTTTATTTTTTTCATGCATTGGGTCATGTTCAGAGTTGATAGGCAAGTAGTACCTGTGTTCTTTGACATGTATTGTGTATCAGGTAACAAGGGTTAAACTCTCTCTTAGAAACATACCTGAATATCCTAATTGTTCATTCCTTGATTTTGAAAGTTAAACCAATTGGATGATACAGAAATGTTCTTTTCTTTGTTTAAACTAGCTGAAACAAAGGAGGCAGTGATTTTGGGGAAGGCATTCCTCAAACTATGCACAACCAATCAGAGAACCTTAGGTGAAGAGAACCTATCAGCACTCTGGCACCACCTCCAAAGGGTAGGGCCTCCAGCCGAGCAAAACCAGAGTGCACCGCAAATTTGGGGAGTTCCTGCGTTCGCAACAAGTTTCTAAGTTTGTGCCGGCCTAGGTCAGAAAGACAGGTCAGAAGTATTAGGATGCTAAATGATCAGATCTGAAACCTTTGTTTGTTTTGTAACTTGCCTGTTCGTCTACACACCTTAAGTTTGAACCACCCTCAGAGAAGGAAGGTGGATATTTCTTGTCGGGCCAGGGAGAATATATCCATAACTTTCGATTCTGCTAAAGAGAGGTAGTTAGTTAAATTAGTATCACCAGCCTCAGAACCCTGATTGCAACCTGAACCTCGCCAGCGGAGTGGGAGCGGTTCGGACGCCCGGAGACCCAGCATCGCACCCAGAGCCACACACTGATCTGTGAACAGATTGACCCTCAAAAGGCCGCCCAAGCTCCTCCGTCAGACGGCCACGAGACGCCTCCGCCCAATCACTGACGGGAAGGCGCGTGCCCGCACGGAGATGCAGCATCCACGGCCAGCGAGGAGAGGAACCACCGCGTGAGCTCCAGCCTTCGATCGAGTCTGTCCTGAGACGACCCCTCCTGAAATCAGCCCAGACTCCCACGTAAGCTGGAACCATCAATTTGCAGTCAGGGCCCTGACGCCAATTTATTTAATAAGAGAACTTTTATAGGTACATCCAGCCATATAGTTCTTCCCATCCAGGCTTAGGTTAATTCTCTAGAGGCTCTCCCAAGTGACTCCCCAAACCACACGGCCTCATACCATTTAGCCGTGAATCACTCTTAGCTTACTCGAGCTATTTTGTCTTTCATTACTATCACTTTGTTTTGTTTTGTTTTCTGGTTTTATTTTCTATTGTTTATCATTGAATGTAGTCCAAAAGTAGTTTGATATTTAGCCAATAAATTCCCTTTTCTGAAGCATCCTTGGTGCGAGCGTTTCTCTCTCTTGCCCTGGTCTGTAGACTTCAAATAAATCCGCGTTACCTCACACCCTCACATAAGGTTCTAGCAATAATAATATTAAAAATTGCAAAACCCGTTACATTTGAATAGTTTAGTTAGTTAGCAGCAGCAGCAGCAGCATCAGTGGGGTCAATAGACTTTGTAATTTGCTTCGCCCTTTCTGAGTTGAGTGGAAGCTTTGACATTGCTTGCTCGATGGTCTTCTGGTTGGCAGCAACTACAACTGGGTGGAAAATGGGTGGAAACGTGTAATATGGTTTCTCATGGTTATTGTCCCCAAACTATTTTAGTTCAGTGTGACACAACTTGCATATAGTGTGGCTCTTGTCCAGGTCCCTTTTCCCTTCAACTTCACAGAAATCAAAGTACTTCCATATGCTAGCTCAGGGATCGGCAAAAAACGGCTCTTTTACTGCCTGCAGGTCACATAGCAATGCAGACAATCTCACCTAGCTAACTTAGTAGCTAATAAAAAAGGCAAAGATAAAGATTTAATTTACATTTGGAGACAAATGGACTTATTTGCATTTATAAACACTGCAGCTGATTTCCTGGTACATTTAATCTGCAACAAGAAACTGTCAAACAGTAAAAAGTTGCAAAGCTGAAGTCAGCTTCGCTTTCAAATTTTCCCTTTCCACCTTAAATGGTGCAGAAGTTACATTCTGGCGTTTTGGGCACCATTTAAGGTGGAACGGGAAAATTCGAACAAGAAGCTGACTTTAGCCCCTTAAAAAAGTCGAACGTTGACAGACATTTTTCAAGAAACTGTTCTACTTTTGAGGAAAAGTGTCCTGCCAGAGATGAGAGGAAAGCAGCTATAGCTGAGCTATAGCTTAAAGCAGAGCAAAGCAAGTCTGTGTTTTTGTTTATATTTTTTAGCCTGTACTAGGACACTAGCACATACTGAGACATATTGGACATTAAATGTTGTGGCTCCCAAAGTGGTTTGATTTTTGTTGAAGGGACTGTGGCTCTTCTTAACATTTGGGTTGTGACTCCTGACCTAACTTTTAATGCAGAGGGTGCCAGTTGGATTTCTCGCTCATTCAGTTTGTGTCTTTGTTATGTGCCGCCACAGACTGTCCAGGCTCTGCACTTCCACACGTCCAAGTTGCGTCTTTTACGTTCCATCATTATGAATTAAAATTTAGAAAATTGACCATTGACCTTTGGCCCAAGGAGCTCTGGTACCATGTACACTTGTGAACATCCATACATTTATACTTGGTGTTCGTTATGGACAATCCATGCCTAGCACAGAAGTCCAATAACAGTTCACCATTCGAGTTTTGATCAGGCAGGCCGTTCTTCCCAATCACCCCTCCAGGTCCAGGAAATAAAAAACAATGAAAATAGTTTTCTGTTCTCAATATTTCCTTGACAAACTAGGATGATCAGGGGTCTAGCCAACTGACCAACAGTTATGCACAGTGAGACAGTCAGCAATCTTCAATAAAGTAGCAGTCATTGGAGAAAAGATGTTCTACCTGCCCTGTGCGAACAGTTACACTTACGGAGGAAAACTGTCATCAGGGCAGTTACTAATCAGCTATAATCAACTGATCTCACTGCACTCAATAATCAGTACAGCTTGCTATGAAAACTACTCTCTTCATTTTGTTTAATGTGGCAGCAAACATTGGTTTAATATATTGGCAAAACAAAATTAACATAGATATCGATATGGTACAGAACTTTTGTTATTGTTGTTTTGCTCATTGGGGATTACAGGACATGGATGACATGAAGATTTTCACCAATATACTGAGCACAAATCATTTTCTGCTTTTTTGTGTGTGTTCAGGCTAGAAACATCTGACATGAATCAAGTATAGAGGCGAAATGTTTTTTGCTCAACGTATGTAAGTCTGACACCCAGCCAAAGGATGTGTGCTCATAATGTTACCTTATACTTTACTGTGTGGCTGCTTTATCAACAGACTCATGAATTATAATAATGACAGCCTAACTCCAGCTACTTAAAATATAATGTAATGCACTGGAAAAAAGTGATGCAGTTAATTTACTTGATTCAAATGTTTTCTTAGTTCCTCAGTTCAGTTTTTTTTCAGTGGTAATTGTGTTTAAATTTGACATATTTTGAAAATTTATACTTCTTCTTATACTTATATTACATTATACTTATATATGTTTAGTAACTCAGGTTAACATCTACGAATATGAACTTGGACACTCTGAATAAAATGAAAAACAGCTGATTCAGCAGACTATAAATAAATTTTATTTACTTGGTTAATTAAAAGTTTCTTACAAAGCTACTAAATATATTTAGATGCTTCACTGCTGCTAATCATTATGTTTTTTGATATGTTACTGTGAGTCTGTTGAGTGTGACCATTTTTTCTTTGTCACCCCAATGAATTCACTAGGTCTAATCTGGCCACCCCATTGTGAAAGTTCTGGCTATAACCCTGAACATGATGCACACCATCCACTGAAAAAAACTTCATGTACTGTGTAGAAAATTTGTATTAGTTTATTAGCTCGTCTGCATGGGTATGATTTTTATGTATACATCTCTGCCAGCTGTTAATCGCTCATTTGAGGTTTTTGTTTGTTTGTTTGTTTGTTTTTTATGAAATGTTAACATTAGGTGATAATAGTCTAAATAAGTAATTAAATAAGTAAATGAAATATCTGGTAAGTTCTGGATCAGTACCAGGTAGATCCTGAAACTCCACTCAGGTACATGATGCAGTCCAGCAGTCCCTCTTCTTTCAGCTGACACAGTGACCCCAGCAATCCAACCATAGCTCTCAAACCTCCACCAGAGCCCAGCACTGCAATGTTAGGCATCTCATCCTACATCATTGAAACACAAATCTTAAATACTTAAAAAAAAAAAACAAAAAAAAACAACTGTAGTGCTTCTACTGCTCATCACTAAAACATGATGAAGGATGAAATGTTGCTAGATGCATAAAATAATGCAGTCGTTCATAATACATTTATTTTTGAGTAATTGCAAAGCATTTTGAGCTGCAACTGGCATGAAAAGTGCTATATAAATATAGATTATTATTACTATTATTATTTAATGAGAAATTATCTATGAGAATAGTGATACTATAATAATATACTGCAGTGTGTAATGTAGTAGTGTTTGTTGTAGTTCAGTATTCTAACTAAGGGCCAGATTTACTAAATAAAAACAGGACTTATTGAAATTTGCAACCAGAGAAGCACAATGAAGCCTCTTTGCCTGTGCACACAATGTCATCACTAAGTTTCAGGTTTTACCGCACCTGAGACATTCAAATTAACAGCCTGGAGCAATTTACTTTATGGTTTTTAATGCCAAAAAGAAGCACAAGCAATTGCTGCCAGGATTTCAGGAACTTCATTTCATCACAGTCAGACAAAAGCTTCATATCTCCATGACTGTAACTCAGGAGAAAGAAAAACATTCTAAACTTTTAAAGGAACTGGGTAACATTTTCTATGAATGTCACCTTTGTAAGCATCTATAAACACATTTATAACATGTTATAATGTATTCATAAGGCATTATAAACATGGTTATAAGTATTTATAAAAATGAATTACACTGAATTACACTTTATAGCCATGTTTATTATACATTATGAATTGTTAATATAATGCATTATAAGTAGTGTTAATAACGTTATATTGTCAGTGCAAAAGAAGTCAGTCCCAGCTTGGAGAGCGTAAAGTAAAGACAAATACCAAGCTAATGGTGGTGTACATTACCTTTCCCACATTGTGTAAAACACTGACGGCAGCACTAGTTTAAACTCTGACATTTGAAGCCTGTAATTTGCTTTATTGTGTATGTTTTACTGTTTCAGTAAATCCTTCAGTAAATACTTCAACTTGAAGCCTCACTCTTAACAATGGAGGAGGCTTTAGTACAGTACGCTTCACTTTACTTAGAGTGGACAAATACGACTTATGAGCTCTTATAATTTGTTATGATCAGTACTTATAATGTTTTATGTTAACAATTCATAATGCATAATAAACATGGCTATAATGTATAATGCATTTTTATAAATATTTATAGCTATGTTTATAATGTCTTATGAATGCATTATAACATGTTATGAATGTGTTTATAGATGCTTACAAAGGTGACATTCATAGAAAGTGTTACCAGGAACTGCTTGTCTTTTAGCAGCTAAGGCTCGAATCCTCAATCAGAACTTCCAGCTCTCAAGAGAGAATTTCCTCTTTCTCCATTTTCTTTTGTCAACAGCTGTTTGAACTGGGCTGTGAGTGGCTCTGTATGTTAGTGTCTCCACCAGTGACATGCATAGGCTTTGTCGTGGGTGGAGGCTGAGGTATTACAAAAGGGCAATTTGTAATATTATCAAACTTTTTATTCAAATAATGATAATACTAATTAACTTATCAGTGAAACATTCCAGTCATAATACATACAAATGCTTATTATTCATTAACTACAGGGTCTTCAGTGCGTACCAGTTGAGCTAATCTTAAGTTATAGAAGTGTGTAAGTAAATTTCGGGCCCATGGCCTGTTAAGGGGTTAATTAAAGTGCTGGCAACTACAACTACACTTTCTCAATAATCCTACATGTTTGTGACTTGGTGATTAACCAAACCATCAAACAAAAAAGCTATAAATACTAAAAATGTCTTCCTGGTCAAGACTTGCAACCATAGCAATGTGCGAACAGCTGGCTTTTTTAGGCTTTTTAAACTTAATTTCCATCAGGGATTTGACTTTGATTAGATATTGGATTACGGAAGGGATTAATTTAACTTGCAATGACTACAGTAAGATGAAGTTTGCATGCTCATTAGTAAATCTGGCCCTAAAGCTTATATATTGAGGAATGTGTTTTACCTCAGTGCAGGTTATGCCATGCTGCTTCAGGCACTGCAGAACAGTTTCTCTCCTTCTGGCCAAATGCTGCCTCTCAGCTTCACTCAGAGAGTGACCAATTCTCACATCACTGCCACACACACTACACAGGAATGGTTTCAGTGGTAGAAGTGTGTAGTAAAAGTAATAAACAGATAAACATTTTTTTAAACATTTTATTTAATTCATGCAAAAAGTAATCAGTAAATCATCAGTAAAATCGCTGACTAGCTTGACTTAGTAGAGCTGAGATTAACTGGAAGACTGGACCTAGCTGTGGTCATTGTAAAAGGGTAGACAGTATTGTGCACAAATACATTTCAAGTATGTGCATCGCACCAAACAGTGAAAAGAATTAGCTGTAAAATCGTTTTTAAAAAGGGAAACAAATACCTTTGACTACTGCTGGTCTGGCCCATCTCTGAAAGGAAAGGGATGAAAAGAGTAAATGTGAGAAACATCATTTTGAAAAAAGAACAATTACAACAATCTTCAATGCTGATGTCATACAGTGTAGTAATTCAGCAGCACAAGAAATTTGTGTTCTGTTTTTATGGTGAACTGAAAAAAAAAACAGTTTGTCAGTTCCACCACAAAAAAATACTTCATATGGTAACAAGCAACTGTTAACTGTGTAACTAGTTTTATTTAACTCAAAACATTACTGATTATTGATTGAAAGTATCATTCATTCAAAGTATTGATTTAGGTTGAATAAAACTAGTTGATTTCCTTGTTACCACATGAGGTAATTTTTAGGTAGATGTGACGAGCCACTTTTTACAGTGCACAGGTGAAGAAGTGAAACTTTCAGCAGAGCAGACTTTTGGCAATAAACTGTTAGTTGAGAAACTGGTATGATAACAATGATGGCCTATTCTCTTTTAACTGTCATAGTGTGATATTTTAAAGTCAGAGCTAAAACACTGCCAGACTTGATTAGTGTTGATATCAGTGTTAAGCATCAAAGTCCACAGAATGATCTTGAGAAGAAATTTCGGTAACACTTTCTATGAATGTCACCTTTGTAAGCATCTATAAACACATTCATAACATGTTATAATGCATGCATAAGGCATCATAAACATGGCTATAAATATTTATAAAAATGCATTACATGTTATAGCCATGCTTATTATGCATTATGAATTGTTAACATAATACATTATAAGTACTGTTCATAACAAATTATAAGAGCTCATAAGTAGTATTTGTCCTCTCTAAGTAAAGTGAAGCATACTGTACTAAAGCCTCCACCAGTGTTAAGAGTGAGGCTTCAAGTTGAAGTATTTACTGAAACAGTAAAACATTCATAATAAAGCACATTACAGGCTTCAAATGTCAGAGTTTAAACTAGTGCTGCCATCAGTGTTTTACCCAATGTGGGAAAGGTAATGTACACCACCGTTAGCTTGGTATTTGTCTTTACTTTGCAGTCTCCAAGCTGGGACTTCTGGGACTTCTTTGGCACTGACAGTATAACATGTTATCAACACTACTTATAATGCATTATGTTAACAATTCATAATGTATAAAAAACATGGCTATAAAGTGTAATCCAGTGTAATTCATTTTTATAAATATTTATAATCATGTTTATAATGCCGTATGAAGGCATTATAACATGTTATAAATGTGTTTATAGATGCTTACAAATGTGACATTCATAGAAAGTGTTACCGAAATTTCCAGAAGATTGAAACCTGGCTCCATTCAAACAGAACATCTTCTCTTTACTGAAACTGCTTCAGAGATTTGTAACTTCTTCAAACTATTATGTTATTTTTATTTGTTATTTTTCCTTTTTTGCTTTGGAAAGTCAAGAGCCTACTTCTATTTACCTGTTGAATTCCAGCATCCATCTTAGAAAGAAATCTCTGATATTTATGTATGTTATTGACATTATAAAATTGTTTGCTGTTGAAAATAATAAATGATTTAAGAGACAATGTCAGGGCAAATATAATTTTTTTCATGTACTTCTAGAGCTAAGTGCTGGATGTAGCACAATCAATTAGAATCATCTCATGAAACACCTCTCTCAGAGTAAACATTTCTGCTTTCAGCATTCATAAATACATAAATCTGTGCTTCACTGATAAACAAATATTGATGATACAGTATATATGTGTCTGTGTGTGTGTGTGAGAGAGAGAGAGAGAGACAGTGGTCTTTATCCAACTCCAACTGGCATAGAAACAGCTACAGTAGTAGTCAAAGGAGAAAGGTTGAAGCATAAGCCTCTGAGCCCAGAGCAAGCAGATTGCTTGGCAGAAGAGTTCAAACCTGGCATTCAGAATGATCCAGAAAGTCAGTAAACTCAGCTCATTACTGAAAAAGTTTTACTGCATGAGGGCTATTCTGATTGTGTATCTGTTGAGGATATGATGAGCAGTAAAGTTTGTGTTGCTCAAAGAGCTGATAGTGAGACTTCACAAGCTGAAGTGTCCCAGCTGCCCATAACTGCTGTGTTACAGAATGTGTCCCATGGAACAGGGAGTCTGCAAAGCCAGGGAACACATGGGAATGCATGCCGCTGTTGCAGTCAAATGGGTCCTTGCGTATGCAAAAAGAAAAAGTTTGAGGCAAAGAGTAAAGTGAGTATTGGGAAAACTCAGACCAAGTCAGTTTATATTTAAATTCTGTGGGACAATGTTCCAGAATTAAATGTGCAGGTTTTTTTCCTGTTTACCCAAATGTGTGAGGTTCAAATTCTGTGTAAGCTTTTGTGAGCTTTTGGGTTTTATGATTTTATTTCTGCAGCACCATGGTCATGCTACTGGTTGAGCACATGTAGGTGTGATTAAATCCCAAAGAAGTGGCAATTGGCTCTACTCCCACAGTTTCTAAAGTTTTATAAATGCCTTCAAAAGAGTTTAGATCTCCAATCCTTATCATTAACAAGGACTGTAATGTCTAATTCTGAAGATGAGATTGTTCAATAATGTTATGATTGTGTAAAGCTAAAATACCACATTGCTTTGGGTATTTGGGAAGTTTCAATAGAAAATCCAGATTTGATTTAGTTACTGGTGGCTCAGCAAAGAGTCTCAATGGCTGTAAAGTTGTCTCCTGGATTATCTCAGTTTAAACGTCTGAGATGATTTAGTCCATGATTTGGCTGCATTTAGCTGGATCCGATGTTTCAGGGCAATTTCTTGTATCACGTCAGAGTGTGAACTTCCAGCATGTTTGGAAGCTGTTAGAAGGAAAAAGCATGCAGTTTATTTCAGGGTTATTATAAGGAGGGGGTGACACACCATTGGAAGTGTGACTGAAACCCCAAGGTGGGTCATCAAGAATCACACAGCTGTTCCATTGGAGGCCAAATGGGAAAGGCTGTTCTAAGTTGTTTTAGTAGCAGTATTATGCCAAGGATAAAAATTTGGCTATGCTTTAAATTGCAAAGTGTGGTTAATTTGGATTATTAGCAAAAAGAGCCCTGAGCAGAACTGCTGGCATTTACACTGCAGGGGCTAAACCCAGGGTGAAGACACCTAATTTATCCTTTACCCCAAATGTGCGAATAGCTCTCCTCACGTCTATAGGACCGGTGGTTTAGGCAAAGAAAGATCAGTGTCCCACATGAAATGTGTTGCATGAAGCCCAGAATGATTTAATTTGTCTTTGTGACCGCGGTCAGATACTGCTGCTACTGCTGTTTGCTTGTTTGTGTGTGTGTTTCCAGGAAAAATAAGTCAGTATGTGAGGAACTCAGGATGCTAAAGTGGATGGACCAAGGATTGCTGGTTTTTTCAAAGGCCCATTTGACCATGTGACCTGATCAAGAAACACTGCTGGAATGATGGACATCTGGTGTATTATGTTGGAGCATTCATCCTTGATGTCACCAAGACATAATGAACTAAAATGTTATGAGAAGCAGTTATGATCACAAAGTGGAGTTGTCCCTTATTTTGTGTGCACTAAGATGGACTCAAAGTTTGAGGGCACCTGTCCCCAAAGTTGACAGAACGTTGTGGATGCTATTCAATCTTTCATGGTAGACTTTGTTTTCAGAACAATGTGTTTGGATTCCTCATCCAATTAGTGTCTGCTGTTATAGCATGGAGAGGATATATAATTTCTGAAGGTGATACAGGTGTTCTGCTATACAGTGATGCTACAGTGAATGTTAGTACAAATGAAGTTCTGGTTTAGCAGCGTGTAACCAGACATATGTCACCATTTTAGGGCTAAAATCTTTTATGGGTAATAGCACTTCCCATAAAAATGAAACAGCCTCATAGCAGAAGTGATAAGAGACTGTATCTATGATACAGTCTATAGGTAAAGTGCTGATTATTACATCAGTTCTGTAGTATCCCTGCTCTATGGGAACATTTCGGTCATGTGGAAGCATAGCCGTTAGAGAACGTCCTGCTAAGTTAATAGTCAGCGTTTTGATTTAGAGACCCATTTTTGGTTCAAAATGCCAACAAAATTTATGTCAGTTTCCAGTTAGAAATTTATTTGCATATCCCGAGTACTTGTGGGCAAGTACGTTCTTAGCACACTGTAACACAAGATTAGCTTGTGAATGATACTGCATTAGCTTTAAGCTCATATTCACTAATTTGTAGCCACACAGAACTATAATAATGCAAAACAAGGCTAGTTTGGATTACAAACAATGGCAAAAGTCATTTTTTACAGCACAATAATCATTCAAAACACTGTTAGCTCTTTGTTCTGTTACTGTAGAACAAAGATAAACAAAGGAACTTCACCTAATGGCATAGAACCAGAACAAAAATAAACAGAACTTGTTGTTAATACATTTCATTCTATGGTTGCTACTTCTTATTTAATATATTTAATGACTGTTTCAAAATGATTATGCAGTTGTGAAAAGCTTATACGCCTGAGGAAAGTTAGTCTGAAAGAAACATACAAAACGCAAACAGCCAGGGGCCATTTGGAAAGAAGTCAGTTTTACCCAACAAGATCATGTTAACAAAACAAAAATGTCACTGTATTTTACTTAAACAACACAGCTTACTTAGTTTCACACTGTGCAAATATGGCAACAATTTCCGGAACCTTTTTTGATGATTTTATTCACTCAAATGGAAGTTTTGAGTTGAAACAACTTGTTGCAATTTGGTATCTTGCCATGGCAGCTTTAAAACCAACACATTCAAAAAATGAAACTGCACTGCTGTTAGTTTAAATTGTTTCTCCCTCATCACAGTTACTCAACAAATGTGTATAACTGAGTGCACAGTAAAACAGGCTCATCAATTCAATCTAAAAAACTACTTCATGTAGTAACAAGCAATTGAATTAGTTTTATTCAAATCAAAAAATTACATTGAAAGAATCGTTAGGTTGAATAAAACTAGTCAATGTACTTGCCAGTAAATGAGTTCATTTATTACCACCTGCAGTACAATTTTTTTTAATGTTGTGGTTTCAAAG